TGGGTTTTTAGCGACGGCACCGGTATGGTTGGCCAGGATAGCCTTCAAAATGGGTTTATATGGCGATCATAACAAGTTTGATTACTCGTATCAGTTGTTTGAGTATGAATTGTGTTTATAATACAGTTTGACGTCATTTAATGCATATTTAATAGTTTTTTTGATAACCCATTGTATGTATAGTAAGGAAATTTCTTCGCACCAGAAGTCATTGGATTTGAATACTAAACGCGATTATATCGACGGATACCTAATGGAAATGGATGTCAGATAACGAAAGGATCCCAACTCTAACTTCAATAGTCAGTCCATTATTTATTTATACAAATTTTGATCATTTGTTTATTTAGTGAAGAGATTGCAGGCAAACTGCCGGACATTTTTCGGTGCCGGAAGTGTTACCATCAGGACTATCACTGAATGGATGCTATTATTTGCCGTCAGATATACTGAACACCAGAAGAGGATTCACTCAGAGATCGATTCTGTGGTCGGAAGAGATCGGAGTCCCTGTTATGCCGACAGACTTCATATGCCGTCCACTCAGGCGTTCATTAATGAAGTCTTTCGACTCAAAACTCTGGAGCCATTGACTTTTCGGTGGTATAATAACTTTTAAAAAAATTATAGACATTCATGTTTATGAATATACAGAAATTGAATAATTATTTGCTTTGAATACATAAATAGCACAACAGATGATACAACAGTTTTGGGTCAATTCATACCGAAAGGCACCAGAATTATGGGCAATATATGGGCCGTTCATAACGACCCCAAAGTATGGCATAAACCGCAAGACTTTAATCCGAATCGATTCCTCACAAGTGATGGCAAAGAATTACTTAAATTCCATTATTTTATACCATTTACTATGGGTTTGTTTGTGTTTGTTGTTGAGATATCAAGAATATTCTGTATGTTTTACATTCACTAATAGGTAGACGTAATTGTGCCGGTGAGGGGTTGGCACGAGTGGAGGTATTCCTGTATCTCGTATCACTTCTACAACGGTATACAATAAGCGCAGCAAATGATGGGACAGTCGTGTCATTGGTGGAGAGATTCGGGTTAATACTACCCAATTCGGGTGTTTTAATGCAAAATATGATGAAAAGCGTTCAGAAACGGATCAAAACACCAATAATGGACACAAAAGCGACTCAAACAGAGAAAAGGATTGCAATAAAAGTAAAGACAAAAGCGTTGAACGAAACGGTAAGCAAACGGATGTCTTGTCAATCAGTTATGAATTGGTTTTCAATTCATTGATAGAGAGAAAGAGTACTGAAAGGCCGCGAAAGACGTCGGAGTCGTCCGATAGAGACCGACACCGAAGTAGTGATCAGCGAAGGGATAGGAGTAGGAGTCGCGAGAGGGAAAGGGATAGGAAGTCGTCCCGCGATACTGTAAGTCGAGTCAATAGTTTATAAAAACTATAAAATAAATTACTATTAAATATAAATATATGCTAGTTAATAGTATTGCTCATTTGTGTAATTATTATATTGAATAAACAGCACTAATAACGAAGTTCTGGGTAAACGTGTTCTTAAATTACAAGACTTACTACAATCCATGTCATNTTCACAAAACTTGAGTTATTTTTCTATTGTTTTGTATAGAAATGGTTTGATATATTGGTTCATAAAAAGGGGTATTTCATAAAACCTGAGTTCACAAAAGTGGGTATAATTTTACATTAGGTTCTATATAAGTGGCTTTGGTTTTGACAATTAGTTCATAATTCCCGAAATGTCATAAAACCTGGACTTCACAAAACTTAGTGGTAAACTGTAATTCAAAAACTTTTCTCAAAAACTTTTTATCCCTAAAAATAACTCATATATTATGCGTGAAAGCGAGAGCACCGGCGTATTGGGCGCCTGTAGGCCGTCGTATGTGTTATGTATGGGTTTGGCAGCCAATGAACGACACATTCACCACATTCTCCACACATTCTCGTCAAACCGCTCTTCAAAACACGACAACTCGTGTTTTGCCATCAATTGAGTCAACAGTGGATCAGATGAGACACTCAGAGACAGCACACACCTCAAGACAATACCAGTGCCAGTGTTGCGGACAGTGCTAGTGGTGCAGTAGTGGTGTATGTGTGACCTATCGGTGCCATGATGTCCAAGTCGATGATAACAGTGCACACTCTGTATAACTTCTTGTGGTACTTAACCCACGCGTTGATATCAGTCGTGCAACTGATCCACAGACACCTGTACCTTAAGTTGAAGACAAAGCGTGTCTTAAGCAGTGATTTGCGTGAATTAGCCAATGGTTTGCAGAAAATACCGAAACATATCGCCGTTTGTGTGAATGAACACCACGTGGACTGCCATCAGTTGATCCAATTGATCCGCTGGTGTCACGTGTTTAACGTGAAGTACGTGTCCCTCTTCAGCCATTATGGTGTGTATTATTTCATGAGTGGCCAGAAGTCCACGTTTTGTTTAGTTTTGTCGCTATTTATGTAATAGTCTGTCATATGTTGTGATCACGTCTTGTGTCTTATTATCTACTCTTCAGATACATTCGTGTCTTTGAGTCAATTGGAGGACCAGTTCGTGAGGTGTGCGACGAATGGACACAAAGCCACGGATGACGGCGCGCACAACAATGGCTTCGCTAAGACTCGAGTGAATGGTTAGTATATCACTAAACACTTGATTATCACTGCATTCATGACGTGTTTTTGTGGTGACAGGGAAAACATCCGGAGGTGTGATAACAATGGATGGTATGTCCGTATGTGTCGTGTCTTCTAAGCACTCGCGACAGAGTATAGTGAAAGCGGCCCAACATTTGAGTCGACAAAAGGCACCCATCGATCAAAACGAGATCACAGACTATTTAAGAAGTGAGTGACCCATGAGTGCCGTGTCGTAAGACATTTGTATTGATTTTCATTGATCCGAATCGCGCGCAGAAACGTATGACTTCCCGGACCCGGAGCTGTTGATAGCGTTCGGGGGGTCGCCGGCCGTCTATGGGTACCCCTTATGGCAGTTAAGGCTAACGGAGATGTATTTTCTTCCAACTCATCGTCACTTCCAATGCAATGATTTCTATGAAATTCTCGTCAAGTATTCAAAATGCGAGCAAAGATTTGGCAAATGAGTGCACATTTTTGTGCTAATGTTTAATAGTGTAGTAATTATGGCAACAAAATAGATGTTTATTTGTAAATCAAGTGTTTATTTTTAATGATTTGTCGATTTTTAACTTTTTATTTGCAAAAGAGATTATGCAATGAATTGTCTCATGAAATGATGAGTTGTTTTTTATTTGGATATAAATTATTATATAATGTAAAGAATAATAACACAAAAGACTTATATACAGGGAATTAAAGTTTTATTTTTTTGTGAAAACGATTTGTACATAAAATTGGCATTCAATTAAAATCACAGCCACTTATGATATTTTATTTGATTTTTTAATATTTTCCTATAAATAAAGAAAAATAACCACAAATAGTAAATGCTTATCAAAAATCAGTATTAAAAACAATATTTTCCAAAAAAATAAATTAAAGTCGCCTTTGATTTCCAATATTGTGCTTAAGATTTATGCATCGATTAAGGAATCTGTTTATCATTCATAATGTGATCCTATTATTCAATTTGAGACTATTTATAACTACAGTCTAATAGTGTCCAGTGATCTCTCAATATTAACAATTCATAACTCAGTGGTCACTCACTCTACTACATGAACCTCATTATGATATCTACTGTACTCTACTGTAGAATATTCTGTAACTTTTCCTACAATTTCTTATCATAGATAACATAAACGCAAAACAAACCCAATCTTAAGCCTCGGATATACACTTTTGATTTGAGTTCAAATTGAGTTTAAAAAGTAAGTCATAAAAAATATGTTACCTTTTAAGGCGTGCGTACGCTATGATGCCATTCCTTTATCGCTGATTTATGTCTTACCCTCTGATCACAACTTAAATAACTTTTGTTTTTATTTATATTTACGACTTTCCCCTCCGAGTCGACGCCCGGCTCTTGCCATCAGTCGCTGCGCTCTTATCGCGGCTTTTGGACCGACTTCTGGAGCCGCGGCGGCGATGGCGGCGCCGTTCGTGTGATTTAC